CCCTCCCTCCCTCCTGTTTTTTGGCCGCTCCGGTTGTTACTCCATCACGTTTCAGCCCCGCTCCGCTCAGGCTGCCCTGGATGGGGCTCAGTTCAGTGGATGCCTGCCATGTTTACACAAAGATTTCCTGGCTGTTCCTGGAAGATGATGGAGCAGTTCATTAGAAGAACTAAATGGATAATCTTGTAATATTTTAGGAACACGTGTGACAGGATACCAAAAATGGGTGTTATATGCACAATATAGATTTTACCGCTTTTATGTTTTGTGATTTGATTAGAAGATAAACTATAACACTGTGCAGCTAGTAGTGTATTGGCATTGTACATTGGTTTACATTTTATCCAATCAAGGGCAGAGTTGTAAAATAACCAAGTACAAATACTTTGTTACTTTACCTAAGTAGAACTTTTGCCTATCTGTACTTTACTTGAGTAATTATTTTTCGGCGTACTTTTTACTTTTACTCATTAAATTTTTTACACAATTATCTGTACTTTCTGCTCCTTACATTTTTTTAGGTAAGAAGTAGAAAGTTGTTACTCCTATTTCATTCCGAGTTGTTATTATTTTAAAAAATACTATCCTGATAAATTGTCTCCTCGATGGAGTGAATTTAAATGTGATTGGATGAGGAGTATAAATATAAACCATTCTGACACCGTATTACTTTGTACACAGTCCATCACAGCTGCACACCATTAGAAAAAAATATTTTTTGAGAAGTCCTCTCCCAATATATGTCATTTAGGAAAATCTTAACCGCTCACTTTTACTCAATACTTTTACTTTTAATACTTAAGTAGATTTTGTGTCAGAAATTTACTTTTGATACTTAAGTACAAAAAATATCAGATACTTTAAGACTTTTATGCAAGTAATATTCTTAGAGAAGACTTTCAATTTAGCAAAATATTTTTATGATAAGATACTTGTGCTTTTACTCAAGTATCGCTTTGAACACTGTCCAAGGGCTAAATATGGAACTGGAAATTTTGGAAAGAAGGTTCTG